GCCAAAGAAGCCCTCGTGCCACACTGTATCGAAAGCTTTGGTGCTATCAAGAAAGACAACTTGAACTTTATCATCCCTCTCCAATCTGTTCACTTCACCTTTCCAGAAGGGTTTGATGAACGACCTGTAGTGTTTCTTAGGAATCCAGTCATTTGCAGCTTGTGACAGTGTTTGTATGATGAGGCTATACAACATTTCTATAAGAACAGTGAGGTGGTGGAAGTTGAGATCCCCAGAGAGTATGTGAAACTTGAGAGGTGAATTCTTTGATAGAGTCATCTCGCAGAGCTTTGTCCCAGGCTGGCCTCGAGAGGCTGTGGTTAGGCATTTCATGTTCCCTGAAGCTAACGTTAAAAGAGCAAATCACCGGGTGATGGTCCGAAATATTGGGGGGATTATCTCCCCTGACCTCTGCACTGGTAATTGATGCCATTAGGTCCTTTGGTACTATAATGTGATCGATAGGCGATTGCGGACCTCCGCGTAGAATGTGTCCATAGGACCAGTGCAGATGTAATGCATGTTCACGGAAACAAGACAGGACTCCTTTAAAAACGTTTCCAGCTCTAGGCTTCTTTTGTCAGGGTTTACATTATATCTGGGTCCATTGATCCTGGCATTAAAGTCCCCAAGAAGTACCACATTTCCCTTTGGAGAAAACGCTTCATAAAGTTCATATCATTGCACAAGATAGTGTTGGAAAAGCTGAAATGATCGGTTAGAGGGCGGCATATATACACTGAATAGGAAGATTTTGTCGTGACCTGGGTTCCTTTCCTGCGACTCTGTTGTAATCAAGGTTGAGATCGTTAGTATATGGTTGAATTCGCTTGTGGCATAGAAACGAAGTACTTCCGGACTTCAGGGAGTTGCTCTCTGTATCCATATCATATGGACTGGAAGCAGCAGCAAAATAGTCCTGGTTGAGGGAGTCCAGAAAGGAGATGTTATGTATGCCGAGCTGGTGGTCGGAGAGTGCGCAGATATCATGCTCTTTGAGGCAGGTGTTGAGGTAGGGAACACTTGACTTTACACTCCGGCAATTCCATGCCATGGCTGTCAATCGTTCATGCATGTTTGTATGAGCGTTCATTACAGGACGCTATGGAGGAGATGCTTCAACATGTTCATCATTGTGAGTATTGTTGTCGAACTGTCGCCAAAATTTCTGTCTGCTCAGCCATGGTTTTACAATTATGTGGCGTTCCCAGACATCTGGGTTCTCAACTTAATTTTGTCATCAGCGAGCACATTCAACTGTGCCGAGGCAAAGTGTCTGTCTGGTTTGTTGAAGTACTTTATGTGAGTCACAGTCACTCCCCTTTGAGTGATATAGTTTCTTATAGTCTCTTCTGAGCATTTACTATTTATTCGACCAATGTAATATCTTCTGGTTCTGAACCGGGATGGAGCTGCACAGAATTCTTCATCTTTGAGATTCCTAGTTGCAGAGCATTGGTCTGTACCAACAACTACTTTAATAGAGTGGTTCGAGGACGAGTGTTGGGACATATCCTTCACTATATTGGATTTGTAACTTCCTCTGGCCTGTGATTATTCACTTGATTAGGGTGAACAAGGGTTCCTCCATGTTTGACGTGAAAGGATGGTATAATCTAAGCAATGTTTTCGCTGCATGTAGGATTATCCTGGTGGCATACGGGTTTCATAACCTGGTGTCTCCTAAGCTGGACGTCAGTTTCATCACTCTAGTAAGTAACGAGTCCGTCTCCTGCACGGGGTGCGTCTTTATTGTTTCTATCGCGTGTGTCATGGTTGTGCTCTGTCACCTGAGTTGTAGCATTGTTGTCTGTAGTAGGAATGACGTCACAAAACCTGACTGGTCACTTCTTTGTGAAAACTTTAACGATTGTGAATGGCTGAGTTGGTCCATACTTTTGGTGCAAATTACAGTATCTTTCTTCTGAGCACTGTTCCTTGTAATATCAGCGTATGTTGTTTTTGTTTCTTTCTTATCTCCTTCTCCAATGAGTTGAACAAGGACTGGTCGGTTCATAGTATATACTGTATAGTGAGACTGAATTGGATCCATATTAAACTGCGGCATGTTATCGCATTATAAAACCGACATGTGTCAACCAAATCAGAGACCACCCGATCCGTCAGTCACCTCTTACAACAAGCATGGGTTGCTGAAGACCAATTCTAACCCCGGTCTTCACTGGCGTCAATATAGAAAGACAATTTTAGCTATACTGCTGAAAGTGATGTAAAAGAATATCGATACTCATTCAGACTCATTTTAATCATCATCGAAGTTAAAATACAAGATGTTAAATGAAATGCGGAATAAGAGAAAAAATTTATCATCATAACATTCATGTTATTAATCTATGATAACTTTAACATACATGTTACCATAAAAAGTATCCTGGCCTTCGCGTGGTAACGCTTGCCCAGAAATAATATCCATAATAACAATAGATCCCCCTATTCACCGAACTGAATATAATAACAATGTGTTATTGTAAGCTAATACTACACAAGAGGAACATAGGAAGCCTTATCTATGTAATCACACTGCAAACATGTACAGGGCCACTGTAGGGTTGTCAAGCTGTCAAAATCATGTGCCCGCCGCCGGACTGACGTCAAACGTTTTTGGCTCGTTACAAGCGGTGTTAATTTTCAACAGCATGGTTAAATGTTGATATTATCCCTCCGGCGTTTTTCACACTAGGGTCGTTCCTCCCGCCTCACACAATGAAATCACATAGCCATGATTGCTGCCAATTAACAACGTTTCGAGCAAAGATTTGAACAACTGATCAGCTGGGTGTTATATTGGATTTCATTGTTTGACATAAGGATACATTCCTAACATTTTAGCATCAGTCTTCGAAATTCCATTCTGATTATACCCTTAATGTGTGCCTGAAACAGTAGCGTGTTTGAAGTATTATCTGCTTATAATTACTACAATAAAAACGTAATTAAAACTTGATATCGTTGGCATTATACAAGAAGATATGCTGATCCGAATGAAAAAAAACTGCACTAACAACAACAACATTAAATCAACATCATCAATTCAGCTCAATATGAAAATTCCCTGTGCCCCATCACGCAATGTACCCATGTGGAGAATCGAACCCTGATCTTGAGTGTGACGAGCTAACGCTTCAACCACTAGGCTACTCCACCGCCCCTTCATATTAGGCTATATTACTATAGCCGGGACGTATTTACTATAGGTATATGAACATTCGGGGTTCGTTAATTTTATCGTGTGGTCTGGCTTCGTGTGTCGATGTTGTTGAACCTTACCTCGATGTTTCTGACACCGGGCTCTGTGATAAAGGCACGATTGTCGTGATATAGTTTTAATAGCGAGGTATTCATGAACATTCACTACCTGCTATTCCACATTTTTTCTGACAAATAGATACGAAGCACCATCGTAAACTCCCACCAAGACGAACCCGTGAAGATACGGGTTAGAATGAACCTTCATTAACCCATGCTTGTCGTAAGAGGCCACTAAAGGGATCGGGTGGTCAGGCTCGCAGGCTTGGTTGACACATGTCATCAGTTCCCAATTGCGCAGACCGATGCTCATGCTGTTGATCAGTGGATTGCCTGGTCCAAACTCGATTATTTACAGACCGCCGCCATATAGCTGGAATATTGCTGAGTGCGACGTAAAACTAACCTCACTAACTCACTCACCCACCAAGACGCTTTGAGTTGATAGGCTAAGGTCATCAAACCGTATTATTTATGAAAAAGAATTCTTGCCATACTGACTACAAGACATAAGTAATGACAGTAACTTCGAATACAACATATATTTATGCATAACTTATTTTCATAATCAATTATTCTATTACTAGTATATAGTTGATCCTTGGGAATTTACACATACAAAAATATTAATGTCAAAATTTCAGTACAGATTACGTCCCTTGTTATGCGTGTGTGTGTGTGCGCGCATGCTTGCATCCGTAATCACAGAAATACGTTAAAACATTTCCCTTTTGTGAAATAGAAATATTCACCTGACTGAGTTTGTGATAAGCATTTTGTTCTCACTAGAATTTTAGAGTATTAAATACTCATTAACGCCCGCAAATCTGCTCAAGAGTATCAAACTGAAGTACAAAGAAAGTTGCATAACATGCACGTGTAATTCAACAAAAATCGCGATGGTCATGAAATTCCCCAGACATCGCTGTAAAGTATATTTACGTCTTTTTGCAACGTGTACACAATGTTTGTGACTTATAGGTCACCATGAAAACGCATTTCAAAATATTGACGTTGTTTTAAGGTCAATGATGCCCAAACACCAGGTGTCTACTTTCATCTGTACGTCAGTTTAATAGCTATCATGTGAATAAACATAGTCACGTATTCGTACGGATCTTTAAAAAAGGTTTTCTGCCTGATAATGGTTTAATATTCATTTGTCTTATAATGGCCAGTGCCTAATCAGCAGGTATTTGGAGATACTTGATTGGTGCAGATCTTTTCGTGTACACTTCCCCTTTAACACTACCTGTGATTTACACAGCCTGACTCTATCAGATTAGCCCAGACTGACGGATTAGCGATTATAACGCGCTCGTGGACGCATTGAAGCAATGCAATACAAGTTAACATTGTCAAGGTGGGAGGAAGGGTGACTCGCGACTCATGCACTCACAAGTCCACACCGGTATTTACAGCATGCTTTATGTAGGTAACACAGCCAGGACTAACGTATATCACTCGCTGCTTAATTCGAAATCAGTCATGAGCCTGTAGACTGTGCCAAGTTATGTCAGGTCCTTTTGTGGCGCGTTTCATGCGCTGATAATACCCTCTCGCGGCCTACCGGGCTTACACAAAACAACTTGGTAACGTCCACACCCGTTCCGATCCAGTGAGGAAAAATCCATAGGGCACAAAAGGCTATCAAACGGATCTAAAAAAATCAATGAGGCCCGTAGCCACCCCGTAACTGTGAGATTTGTCCATTTGTTTGTGGGACTGTGTTGAGAAAGCTTGGCGTGTGCTGGGCGACTCTGTCTTCGGGATTCGGGTAGATTTCAAGCACGGATTTAAACCAAGGCAGGGCGAGTTTAATGATTTACCTAAGAACATTAAAAGTAAGACTGTGGATACCTTAAGATATTGGATTAATTGGATTCAAACAGTTGACAGGTTCATGGGACTCTGAACTGGGATTGACTAAAGGTGGATGTGTGTGTCTGGGACTTTCTGGAGTGTCTTAAGACACGGTGTACACACGTGTATGAACTTGAACCACGGCCCGTTGATGGTTTCAGGATCCTCATCAAGATCTGGATACTTGCTGTGAGACAGAGATGAACATACAGAGCTTCATCACTCGATAGGTGTAACAGTGGTGTCCCTGGACAGACACAGGTGACGGAATGAGTGGCGTCACCCTACCCCCCATCCCCGGCGCTGTCCCGGCCCCCATTCCAACTGAGTCCCGACCCAGCAGCCGGAGCAGCACGTGCAGCACCTCCATGACCATCGTCCCCCACGTGTACTACACAGGTGAGTCGACAACGTCTCACAACGACGTTGCTTAGAGATATATTTCTTCAGACTGTTGAGCTTTCTCATTAGCCATATGGCCTTGTATCAGAAAATACATCATGGACCTGTTTGTCAATTGTGATTAGTCATAGCGATCCTTGAGCGATAAGGGGGTGGTGGGGTAGCCAAGTGGTTAAAGGGTTCGCTTGTCACGACGTTGGCCCGGGTTCTATCCACCAGGTACAATGTGTGAAGCCCATTTTTGGTGTCCTCCGCCGTGATATTGCTGGAATATTGCTAAAAGTGGCGTAAAACCACTCACCGTCGTGGAAAATCAACGTCCACAACGTCATTCACTGTGACGATATTTTACCCCAACTTCACCTGAGGCAGCTCTCTACTATACTCATGCCAATAATGGTTGTCACCCCTTCAATTTTTGAATTGGGAGGGGTGTGTGGGTGGGGTGTGGGTGTGAGGTGTGGGTGGGGTTGGGGTGGGGAGGGGTGACAACCATTATTGGCATGAGTATATTTGTTGTTGGGTTTATACTTTAATTTATACGATAGATAACTCTAAATCAACTGTTTAAATGAATTATGCATAGCCTAACTACCTTATAAGTGTCACTTGAAAAATGTCAGTACTTTCCAAACTGTTAGCCCATTATAAGTGCATTATAAACTGAATATTGAATGGTATAAGATTGTGTCAGTGCACACACACACAGACAAACACATGCAAATTTTTAACCTATAACAGATTAACTGGAACATGTTTTGAATGTCGAGAAACTCACTACTTAATGATACTGGATGAATTACCTTGCTGTCAAATATATACAAGAAATATCAGGGGGATAGATAATATACAACAACGATATATTCCAGACCTTGTTTTATAATTTATTCAAATGTTAATGGTAATTTTGTATTGTATGTATACAGAAGAATTACAAATAAAATCCTTCCTAAGGTCACTAAAGTTATGTATACAGCTCAGAAGAAATATATTAAAATTATATTGACGACGTATTAATCTGGCTCAATGCACACACTTCATATACCGTTTGGTTAACGTATTGACAGACAGAATTCTCACTACCGTGTCAGCAATCTGGAGACAAGGTATTATTTCCGGAGCAAGTAGTGGTATAGGCTTCCTTTCGTGTTTTATTATCCTTTCATAGAATAAGATTCTTTTATGATCACAGTGATACTCATTTAGCTTTGAGTTACCTTTAATCCTTGTCTGTCCTGGTTGTATGGAGAAGTAGTGGTTAAGATTGAACAGGAATTTCGCCTGCTATACTGTTACCGGTGTATTCATGTAACCCCAAACGCTCAATATTGTACGTCACTCTCAAATGATTTTTTTTTAAATCGGCATATGCATGTAGTAAATTTAGTTTACGGTGAAATATATTTCCTTTCAGTTCTGTTCAAAAACATAATACACTTTTCTGTATTACACTACAGATGAAACAAGAAGGTTTTTCGATGGAGATGAATTTGATAGGGGTATCATAGTTGGGTTTCTTAAACTTAATCTTTAGTATGTATATATGTATGTATGTATGTATGTATGTATGTATGTATGTATGTATGTATGTATGTATGTATGTATGTATGTATGTATGTATGTATGTGTGTGTGTATGTATGTGTGTGTGTGTGTGTGTGTGTGTGTGTATGTATGTATGTATGTTTGTATGTATGTGTGTGTGTGTGTATGTATGTATGTTTGTATGTATGTATGTATGTATGTATGTATGTATGTATGTATGTATGTATGTATGTATGTATGTATGTATGTATGTATGTATGTATGTATGTATGTATGTATGTATGTATGTATGTATGTATGTATGTATGTATGTATGTATATGTTAATGTGAATAGTCGAACTAAGAGAAAGCTGCGATAGAGATGGCGTGTCGTTAATCACTAATCATTAATCATATTAATAGCGAAATCCCTATCGATCTCAGATATATTAACGCTGGTCTATTGTATCAGGATATATGCAAGGTAGTTAATCCCTTAATAGCTTTAACTATTACATGAAGGAGATATACAGCTTACTTGCTGCATCATTAATATAATATATTATTGGAAAAAACAAATTGATTGTGCGATACTGTAGCAAGGCTGGATCAAATAATATTGTATATTACAATACAAGTACAAAATATCATGATTCTTGAAAACATAGATGTTTAAAGCGTATATTTCATTAATGAAGGGTATTTAGAAGTCGTATATCCTTACATTGTTTGAGTGAGCCACTTATTTTACCATTGCAAAGAAGCGCTTTACCTTTTAGTGCAAAACAAAGCGTTTTATCATTTAACGCAAATGAAGTGCATTACCATTTAATGTAAATGAAGTGCTTTACAATTTAGTGTAAATGAAGTGCTTTATTACTTATTACAAACAAAGTGAAACAATGCCACTCAGCAGAAACAGAAACCACTGTCAATGTATGTCTAGAAGAGTAATCAATACTTATTGATACAGAGGCCATTCCTAGGTGACCCAATTTGCATATTTATAGGATCATGGTACCAAAACCATCAGATTGGATTGTATCATCGATAACACAAGCCGTTACATAAATAACGTTCAAATTGTTTGAGTATTTGCACCAAATTCATATTTCAAGAATCTAAGAGGAGGTGGCGAGGTGTGGAGGTGTACAGAGTACTGTTGCCATACCTCCAATTTGTTACACAAAAAAGAAAGGACGATGTTCATTTAAACTGAATTGAAATTTCAATTATTTTTCGTTGAATAGTGACTGAAGGAATCTGCTTCGATCAATATTAAAGTAATGTCACAGTGGATGAACACCAGAAATAGGCTTCCGACGTTGTACAGTCCCATGTGCAGAATAGATCCCATGACTTCGGAGTGACGAGCGAACACTTTCCCGCAAGGCTCCCAATTGCAACCGACCCTTATGGGAATCGTGTCATAACGCGCATTTTCATGCGGATTTTTTGAAACAATAATCATTGTTGTCTTTTTTTGCAGAGACTGGTGGATCTTTAAATATAATTCAATATAATTTAGTTTGATTTAATTCAACGTGAACCTGTGCATGTTCATCAAGATCCAATTGTACAATTACTTGAAGCCTATTGCTTTCTTACTGGAACTTATTGCTTTTTTTCATACAATTACTTCAAGCTCATTGCACGGGGAACAAAACTGCCTCTCACATTCTAAACTTTATATGATTGCAAGTTATTGCAAAAAAATCAATCAGCGATCAATGTTTCTATATAAATTGGTCTGGTGTTCGGCAAATATCTTTATCGGACTGTAATAAATCTACAAGCCCTGTGACGTGGGTTATCAGATTCAGGCGATGACTTTCAGTAATAACACTAAGGTGAAACTATCAGGACTTTATCAACAGTTCCCACTGAGACTAGCAATCAAGATAAGTTGGGTATTAGCTTTATCAGAATCTTGTTCAAAGTGCGGGCAATGTGTTTGGAACGAGTATTCAGAGACTGGCAGCCGGGATTAAAGTCTCAGCCCTAATCCTTCGTCAGACGTATCATAATCTGACGGATTAAGTCGATAACTCACCTACCTTGCAAGAAGTGAATGCAGAATTAGAAGTCTACTTTGATACTTTTTGTTGATGTGATATTATTACATGGAAACCATTAAACCTAGTCTGTACATGATTGGCCATCTCATAGGACCAACAGAAGTACAGTTCATATTCGTGTTTTCGAAAACAAAAACAAAGCTGTTAGTACGACAGTTTCCATAACATCATCTTTGATCGAGTGGGTCTTTTTTGCATTTAGAATTATTGATGCAATTAAACGCTATCAGTGCAGTTAATCAAATTGGAATTATGCTAACGATGCCATTATAATTGCTTTTTTATTTGGTGTTTAACGCCGAAATATTCAAGCTATATGTCGGTGGTCTGTAAATATTCGAGTCTTACAACTCAGTGATTGAACTCATAAGCATCGATCTCCGAATTTGGGTTTGTTTGTTTCTTTATTGTTTATATCTATAAATGAACGGTCTGTAAATAAACTAGTCTTGACCTTATAATACAGTGAGCATCTATTTATCCGTTAAGGATGCAATGACAAGCAACAACCTAGTTACCGAGTCCGGCCGACAGATACACTTACGACAAGCACTAATCTGTGATCACCAGTTCTAATCCGGATCATCGCGGGTCCATTAAATTGACTGGAAGACGGAAAAACTAATCTATTTCAAGAAGTACCAGGATTCACACCACGTTCACAACAAAACTGTTTGGTCGAGATTCTAGGTGTCCTGGAAAACATATGTTATGAAACCCGCTTTCAGAGAAAACAACCGTCATGGAAAAATATTCTGCCCGTAACAAAAAGCTACGATCCCAGACCAAAATATTATTAGCTATGTTTTATACTGCTTTTTATTCCGTTATATTCCAGCAATAATACATGGGGGCATACAAAATAGGTGTCACACTTCATTGCATATCGAACCCAGGTCTTTAGCAAAAGCTTTAACCACACATACAATACCGCCAGCCCTTCCGATATGATATATAATGTTCGAACCCCATGCCATCAATGCATGGCAATGTATATGAATTATGAATTATGTATTATGTATAATGAATTATGCCATTCTCACATGGCCTGTGGCCTCAGTGGGTCGAGACATGGTTGCATATATCTTGAACACAAGGTCTATTCTACCTCATTACTATACATGGTTTAGTTAGGGTGAAGTTGGATTGTAGCTTTTACTGGCTTCAGTTTACCTCGTAAGTTATAGCAGCGAGTAACATTTATTTAATACCTGTGACTTTAACAGTTACACAAATTTCACTTAACATAAAGACATTTCAGATTCGTGTGACAAACCTAATAGTCCAGAGGTATTGCGACATTTGACAGTAATGTGTCTGGAAAATACCCCTGTAGTGTCGTTTAAAATAGAAAAGACCATTCTACAAAGCTGTTATTTCGACCGCATAACTAAA